CGCCCCAACAGAGCGAAGCCACACCCCGACCCGGGGGCACTCCAAAGGGACCCCCGACGCCCGCAACCCGCCCACAACAGACACACACGAACCCCGGCCACAGGCGCGACCACCCACGCCCCCCCCGGACGACGCAACCACGGCAAGCACCACGGCCAACCACCGAAACCCGGCACCGGAAGACGAGGCACGCCCCGACGCCCCGCAGAGCAGAAGCACCCCGGCCAGCACCACAAAAGAACCGATGCCCGGCGCCCAGCCCCACCCAGCAGCAGCACAGCCACCAGGCCAGTAGCCCACGTCCGCCACCACGGAACCCCCCAAGAGCACCGCACGCGGCCGCCGCAGGACCCCCCCCGCGGCGCCCCAGACCCCGCCCCGACGGGGGCAACAGTCCCCCGGGCCAGACCCGCCAGGCACCCCGCTCCGAGCACCCCCCCGAGCCCCCAGGACCCAAGGACCCCCAAACTAGCCCCCGCGCCCCACAAGACGCACCCCATAGCCCCCCACTACACTAAGTGATGGAGCCGATCAAGGGAGCCCAGAAGATCAATAGAAGATTAATAGAAGATCAAATGCATTCTCTCTTGAATATCGAGGACAAAAAATAATGAAATAACTGTATTTGGACTGTTGTTTCATCTAAGATTTCCCTATTTATAGAACAGTGGAGGGTCATTTTCTTCAACTGGGGCTTGGAGTGAAAGCTGTCGGTCTTCACTTAAAAATAACAAACCAATACAGCATTCAGGTCATGTTTCTCTGTGTGATAACTTGAGGTGTACTGAATGGTTCTACTTTTTGAATAAAGAGGCTTGCTGTGAATGCTTGCCAATCAATAACACCAGTTTATTCTTTCTATCTATCTATCTATCTATCTATCTATCTATCTATCTATCTATCTATCTATCTATCTATCTATCTATCTATCTATCTATCTATCTATCTATCTATCTATCTATCTATCTATCTATCTATCTATCTATCTATCTATAGCGAAGGATGGATATTACTAATGTAATATTTAATAAGAAAGAGTGTAAGAAGTATTCCTGTTTATATGAATAAATGAGCTCATGAACTTGTCTCTGGGAGACATTTATAGTACATAGTGCCAGACTGGATAACAGTGCAGAGTAAACAAGCAATATATGTGCTAACTCTTGGTAACCATGGCAACAGATGTGGGGACTGTCTCCCATCTCCCCCATGGCAACAGGAATAGTTGCCAGGTCAAGATGAAAACACGGGACCTCATCACTGGGACAAAACCTTTTTGTCTTGTTACGTGTGTGGTGTGTGTGTGGCTGGGGGGTGGGGGTGGGGTCTTCCCATTAAACAACTGGGAAGGTGATATTGGTTAAACTGGTAGTGCTGCAGGATTTGACTCACATCCCATCTATAGGATGGTGGTGATGATTGTAGACTTAGAGATTTCAGAGTCTTCACTTCTTTAATAACAATAATTTAAAAGCTTTTAGAAAAATGTAACATTCAAAAAAGAAAATGTTTAAGTAAGTGCTAGCAACACACAACTGGGGAGAATCAACTGACTGACAATAGTCTAGTAGACAGTCCCTAGAGACTGTCTGTCAGACTGCTTAGCCACTGAGGACTTCACTAAGCTTGCAACAACCATATTAATGATAGGTTAAGTGCAGCTAAAAGGTTTGGTAGAAAAAGCAGAACAAGACAAAGAAAACCAAATAACAACAAAAAAGAAAAATCTGAAATAATTCAAAATGGATTTATGACAAAAGGCAACTGCCTGTAAAATCAAATCAACTGTGTTTAGTCAACAATCTCATACCTGTTTCCCACTGGCCGAAAAACCAGTTTAAACCTGCGATCAACCGGCTTTTAATGGCAGTGAAAACAGCTCACTGACAGGTGTCTACTCGGGTCAACACACCGTGAACTTTGGCTTTGATGGGCTACTCTATAAAGCTTGGAACTCATCGCTAATTCAGACATTTTGAATTGAAAAAGCTTCCTAGATTGGAAGTGAAACATCTTCAAACTTGGAAAGCAAAGTCCAGTTTTTTTTGTTTTTTCCCCCCGCTTTTTTGGAATGACTATGACCTGGATGACTTAGAATCTTCACCACCATATTGCACTCCATTTTGGGAAAGACACCCTCGGAATAATGCATGACTATGAGAAATTCCACAGAATAAACATCGACAATAAACTCAAACACAAAAGTTTGAGTTTTTGAGAAAAAAATTAACTGCAAAAAAAAAAAAAGAAATAATAATAATAAATAAATCCAAATAAACAAATGATGAATTCTTTAGAGGATTCGTTCCCCTAACAACTGGAGTAAAATAAACTCAGCATTACAGAAAAACAATATATCAAGAGTCAAACATGGTCAGTGTGGATTTGGAGTGGGGTAGTCAAAGTCAAGACTTACATAATGGCATGGCCTAAATATGCAATAATGCTCATAAACTCTTTATAATGGATAATAAAAACTATTCTGCAAAGCAGAGTTGGCCAAAGTTCCTTCACATAACAATAAAAGACTCATTGCCTGTAGTTAAAATGCTCTTTGGCAGGTGGCCCTGCCAAGCAGTGTCTGAAACCTTCCCCCTCAATAAATGAAATCATAGTTTGGAGATGTAATCTGGATCTGATCTTCAAATGTCTGTTAGCAATAGTTTAAGAGAAGCATTAAAACAGCCTAGTTAACATTTTGATTTGTTGGTGTCTTAATTGAAAAAAAGGTACATCTTGGTGAAGAATCCAAGCTTAGTGAACTGTACTTTTTCGTCTCTTAAGCGGATTGTATACTTGGCTGGTGAAGGAGTAAATGTGGTTGCAGAGGTGGTGAGACATGGCCAGTACCTCTGGGCACAACAATGCCAACATTTCTAACAATGCAAGGACGTCGCTTGTGAAAACTTGTCCGTACATCTTATTCGCTGAGTAAGTGAGAGGAAAGATGAAGTACTCACATGTTGAGAGGGAGCTGCACCTTGGCATGTGCCAGCAGCTCCGAGGTAAGAGATGCCACTTTGGGGGGCAGCGGTACCCCCGCTGAGGATGGGGACGGACTTGGAGGAGAGGCATCCTAAAAGAAAGATTCAACAACACACAGAGATCCAGGGGTTTGATTTAAAATGTTACGTATAAGATGTGCCTGTAGGCATTGAAACATCCTGGGAACTATTTACAAACAGCTTTAAACTGAGTGAGAAATGCAGCGAGATGCAATAACTGTAAAAGCAACATGGCTCCAAAAGGCCTTCAAAGTGAAAAATGATTTTATTTGCATGAAACTGGCAGAGAGGGAGGCAGGGGACTGCATTACAAAACGCAAAGCTGTACTATAGAAATAGAACCTATGAACAAACCTGAGTAGGTTTATAATTTATCCCTAATCAACAAATATATAAAACATAACAATTATATATTTTTTTTATTTAAGCAAAAAAATATAAATTTTTAAAGTTTTAGAAGCCAAAGAATTATCTTATTTTAAACAGTGCTAAAGTATTCATAACTCCTCAGTATTATAACATTTATTGGATTTACTTTAACGCCCCTAAATAAAATCTGGTGCAACCAACAGCCCTGAGACGTCATCTTATAAGTTAAAATATATAAGTCCATCTGTCATCTAAAGACAGCTGTTCTAGTCTGCTGATCTTGAACAAGTCACAGCTCCTTTCAATCCATTATCTTAGAGTGGAAAGAATATGGCACAACTACAAATAAAAAGTTAAAGGGGTATTGGTAGTTTGAAGTTAAAAGGTTTTATTTTCTTCCGCAGGTGTCTCTATATTGGTTCTTGTGTTGCGTACTTCGCAGCGTTTGAGATACCTGAATGCGTGCGGCCGCTCTGGGGTCAGATGAGCTGATGAGGACCGGGTGGGAGATCTCCATGCTGTGCCTGTTGTTGAGCTGGGCGGCCCTCTGGCTGACAGACAGTGCAGAGAAAGAGTGACGCTTCTTTGCATTTTTCTTCCCTTCGCCTCTCCTGTGACCGGAGCCATTTCCATTAGATGGCGAGGCACTGGGGGAGGGGCCAGGAGTGCAGGGACCCAAGGGGGCTTGCTCAGAGCTGGGACCTGGTGCATTAGCTGGCATGGGTTTGTCAATCTCCATCAGCTGCTTCGCTGTTTCATTTAACTGAGAGGAGAAAAGGGCAGATGGGGATAGGGGATGGGGAGGGGGGTGAAAAGCGAAGGAGATTAGACGTTAGGTGTCAGACATGAGTGGTTCATGCACATTTCCAAAATACACAAGTGTATTAATCTGACCTTTTTTGAATCGTTTTTGGTGTTAGCTGGTAATTCCTACAAAAAAAACGATGATAATTTGGCAGAAATAGCCTAAGATGCTGTGGGGAAGCATCCTCGATGAGTTCAGAAATGAAAAAGAGGAAAGCTGAGGTAAATGAGAGCAAAAATAATTGGGCTAGGTTAAATGGGATGGATGGATCTCTCAGCAATAGCTTCAGGGAGCTTTATCTTTACTTTATCAATAAAGTTATTTCTAACTAGTTCACAGGAATTATACAAACAAGTCACATCTGTTCACCTCAACCTTGAAGTACAAAGTGTTGCATGAATTAAATCGCAAGAACTTCTTAACATCTAACACTGAAATCTCTCTTTCTGTACATATATATATATTAGATCTATGACATACACAAGCTATATCCATGCATAACTGTATAAATATCCATAAATACTCCTAGTTAGCATTCAGCCTTTAGTTGCCTCTATATCAAATTCATGGCACACAAACTCCCCTACTATTTAAGATTTAAGATACAAGTCCGTAAAAAAAACTTTAATACCACAACAAATTTACATTGCAATCATGTCTGCATAGCAGTCTGTAAACCCCTGAACAATCCCTTGAGAAGAAGTCAAGAGTTTCCTTTAATTTTTCCTTTTCCTGTTTGGGTGGGTGCGTTTGTGTGTGAGTGAAGGAGACAGTCTAAAGGGCTGCCTCGTCTGGGTTCAGTGTTGGTGATGTTGAATTTCCATATTAATAGAAATGCTAATCAAAGCCAAATCATATGGTAATGAGCATGATGGATTGACTCTGCAGATATAACTGAGTTGTAACTCTCAAGAGGCTGTCACAATCACACACACAAACATAAACCACACACACCCAAAGGTCAGTGAGGCCTCATGTGATCTTATTGAGTAACTTACAGTCTAGTTTGACTCCATGAATACATCAGCTGATAAATGTTTTATACACAAGACAGACCCTCCACACTAATTACTAGCGTGTCAGTTTCTAACTACTAATGTACCTGTTATGCTGCAGAGGATGAGATTTGAAATGAAGAGATTTCTACGAGGATGCTTCCTGCTGAATGAATAATCCAAGGTAATCCCTTTCTATGTGCTGAGCAAACTGCATTGATTTAGATGTTGAGTGTTGTCTCAAGGTAATACCGCGGAAAGCTGATGAGCCGATAGCTGCACTAGAAGCAAAGGCATCAAGGCAGCAATGCATGCTTTGATCACTCCCCTTCATAAACAGACACAGTGCCTCTCAAAAACATTCATTCCCCTCTAACAGTGAGTAATTTGATCTCAGTTTAAATCCAGCTGTTGTGAGTGGGCCCCGTATGTTTTTTTTAAGTACAATGAATATTTGGCTTTTATGTGTGTGTCTTTTATACATATGTAATGATGTGATGTAATTTTGATGCCTATCTTGGCCAGGTCTCCCTTGCAAAAGAGATTTTTAATCTCAATGGGCGTTACCTGGTTAAATAAAGGATAAATAAATAAAATGAACATAGTAGACAGGTCAAGGATGAAGCTGTGGAGAAGTTTAAAGCAGGTTTAGGTTATGAAACAATATCCAGACCTTTAAAATCTCACAGAGCCATGGGGTCCCTGGAGCAGCGGGTCAACTGAGGCCCTAAATACTCTACATACTACTTTAACATAATCACTAAAGTCAGACACAAATAAAGAAATACCTACAATTACTCATGTTTATTATGCTCCCTATGCATCATTTAGAGCACTACATTTGAAGGAATGTAAATATAAAGATGACTGTTTAACTTTTCCAAGCATTTACCACTTAAGATAACCATTTTTTTGTAAAATTGAGCAAAATTAAGAGATGTACTCCATCTGAACAATCACGAACTACAACGGTAAACACTGATGTGTAATACAAGAAAGGCCAAAAGAACAATATTAAAAAAAAACTAAAAAAACTTTTGCCAAACCTTAATTTAAGAGAAATGAACAGACTTAAGCTTGGTCAGATTAGCTAACACATATATTCCATGTATAGAGAATATCATGTTTTATGTAAATCAGTTCCATTTCCCTGAACCTCTCTTGTGACATGAAAAGTCTTATAATGATTTTATCAGTTTTAAAGCTGAGAAGCTGTGAGCCTAGATTATACTGCAATGAATTTCACTTGATAAATACGTATCTTCAAAAAATTATCTATAATTTGGGAATTGTTCATTTTAAAAGGAGGTACTAAAAGTGTATTTTACATCAATTTATGTTTTGTATGTCTTATTTTATACATCTTAACACAGGTTAGGTATAAAGGAACTTCTTGATCTGTGGCAGCCTATAGGTTTAGTCACCAACCACACTAGCAACAACCTATATCTTCTTTATCTTCTGTAAGTGGTGCAAATGAAGTGCAATGGAGTGCTTCTGTGAATCCTTAATTAACTCTAAATGGCACATGAATTTATTTTTGCACGTTACAGCTTGTCTACAAACCTTGCAAATGTTAAAAAGTGCAAACTGGTTTGCAAATTTTCCTTGAGTTTGAGAGTAGCTGTAAGAGAAAGGTGAGGTTGATAACTGATAATACTAAAGAAACATATATTATAGTGCTGTTCACATAGGTGGGCTATCTCAAAGTGCTATAGATAATAGAAAGACAAATACAAATTGCAAAAATTAGAGTTAGATATAAAAGATTCTCATTAAAGATGGAACAGTTTTCTTTCTGTGATGCTAATTCCTGCATACAGACCCCTGCTGATCAGAGCAAAACCTACAGTGAAGCAGGTGAGGGTCTGGACGGAGGGGGCCATGGAGGCACTCCAGGACTGCTTTGAATGCTCTGAATGGGACATGTTCAAATCAGCAGCAACATATGACAACAAGACCAACGTTGATGAGTACGCCATGACTGTTTCAGCCTACATCAACCACTGCATCGAGGACGTCAGCACAACAAAGACCATCCCCACCCGAGCCAACCAACAGCCCTGGATGACTGAGGAGGTCCGCCACGCGCTAAAAGCACGGAACTCAGCCTTCAAGTCTGGTGACAAGGAGGCACTGAGGACAGCTAGAGCCACCCTGAACCGTGCCATCAGGTTAGCAAAGCGGAACCATAACCAGAAAATCTAGCATCTGTTCCACAACACCAACAACACCAGGAGCATGTGGCAAGGCATACTGGCGATCACGGACTACAACATGCCCCCTGCACCGGTGGATGAAGTTGATGCTGACTTCCTAAACGGACTAAATAACTTCTTTGGGAGGTTCGAAGCACTAAATCGCACTCCAGCAGTGAAGGCTGTCCCACATCAGGAAGAGGAGGGGCTCTGCCTTGACACAGCCGACGTGTGGAAGACTCTGAGGAGGGTCAACCCGCAGAAGGCCCCAGGTCCCGACAACATACCTGGGCGGGTGCTCAAGGAGTGTTGAGGTCAGCTGGCTGGTGTCCTCACGGACATTTTTAACACCTCGCTGGAGCAAGCCACAGTGCCAGCATGCTTCAAGTCTGCCTCCATCATTCCAGTGCCAAAGAAACCTCAAGTCACCTGCTACAACGACTACCGGCCAGTCGCACTGACTCCCATCATGATGAAGTGCTTTGAAAGGCTGGTAAAGGAACACATCGTCTCCAGTCTCCCCCCAACACTCGACCCATTCCAGTTTGCCTAACGGCGAAACCGCTCCACTGAGGACGCCATCTCCTCTGCTCTTCACCTGAGCCTGGCCCACCTGGAAGAGAAGAACACCCACATGCGGATGCTGTTCCTGGACTTCAGTTCAGCATTTAACACCATCATCCCACAGCACCTGGTGGAAAAGCTGGAACATCTGGGCTTCAACACACCCCTTCGAAACTGGCTGCTGGACTTCCTCACCAACAGCCCTCAGTCGGTCTGGGTCTGTCAGAACACCTCTGACGTCATCACCCTCAGCACGGGCTCCCCTCAGGGCTGCGTCCTGAGCCCCCTGCTGTTCACCCTGATGACATACGACTGCGTCCCCAGGTTCACCACCAATCACATCGTGAAGTTTGCGGATGACACAACGGTGGTGGGCCTCATCAGGGACGACAACGACCAGGACTACAGAGAGGAGGTGGAGCAGCTGGTGGGCTGGTGCAGTGAAAACAGTCTGATCCTGAACGTGGAGAAGACGAAGGAGATAATCTTGGACTTCAGGAAGAACCGCCCCCACCATGCTCCACTGCTCATCAACAGCTCAGCTGTAGAGGTGGTCAGCAGCACAAAGTTCCTGGGGGTGCACATCACGGACAACCTCACCTGGACTGTAAACACTTCATCTCTAGTGAAGAGGGCACAGAAGCGCTTGTACTTCCTGCTGAGGATGAGGAGGGCCCGCCTGCCCCCGCCCATCCTCACAACCTTCTACAGAAGCACCATAGAGAGCGTTCTGACCAGCTGTCTCTCTCTGTGGTGTGGAGGCTGCAGAGCCTCCGACTGGAAGAACGTGAGGAGGGTGGTGAGGACAGCAGAAGGAATCATTGGGGCTCCTCTTCCCTCCATTAAAGACATTTCATCACAGCGCTGTGTGTCCCGAGCCCGTAATATCATCAAAGACCCTCACACCCCCACCATGGACTGTTGTCCCTGCTGCCCTCTGGGAAGAGGTTCTGCAGCATCCGCTGCAGATCCACCAGGTTCTGCAACAGCTTCTTCCCCACTGCCATCAGACTGTTGAACCTTTGATCCACAAACCGAACTCTGCACCTATTGCTCATTATTGGGCATCAGTGCTGCTGAACGTTTAACTTTTAGCCCTTTAAGTTCATCTCATTTTTATTCTCAATAACGCATTTTTTGCACAAATGCCTATCTGCACTGAACCATTGCAATTTGCAATTTGTCTTTATCCTCTGCACTG